ACTATCCTTTTTGTGCCCTGCCGTCAACAACCGCACAACTAGAAGTAAAGATATTTTTAGGGTAGCACCATCGACGTCGAATATAGGTCGTAATCATCCTTTACATAGAATGAAGCTATCTGCAAATGACTATTCGAATAACAGCAATATATCGATGTTTGGTTCTCCTTTGACCAAATTTAAATTCAAAATTTCGTTATTTTATAACAGTAGATTTTAGTTCATTATTTATTGTTTTCATATTAGTAACCGCCAAACCATGAATATTTTGTTTCGAATTTACTTACTAGGGAACACTCTGTTAGAATATGTATTATTTATTAGTTAATTTAGTTTAATAATTCAAAATGTAAATTGGAGATTCCGTTACAAATAAATAAATAAATAAATAAATAAATAAATAAATAAATACATAAATAAATAAATAAATAAATAAATAAATAAATAAATAAATAAATAAATCAATAAATAAATAAATAAATAAATAAATAAATAAATAAATAAATACATAAATAAATAAATAAATAAATAAATAAATAAATCAATAAATTAATAAATTAAATCAATCAATCAATCAATCAATCAATAAATCAATCAATAAAAAATAAAAAATGATGTATAAATTAGCAAAAAAAAGAAGACAAATAAACGCAGAATTAAATTTAATTTAACAAATGAACAGAAACAGAGCAATTTGAAAAACGTCTGTAAGAGTCAACGACATTGTTTTCGCATGAAAACGAGCGTACTAACTGCCAAACTTATAATCAAATGATGAAAAACACTTTTTACAACAACATGCTCCTTTATTGTTTTAATTTAGAAAATATCGTACTGAGTCTGTTTCTGTTATTTTGTTAAATTAAATTTAATTCTGCGTTTAATTATTAAATGTGTAAACAGTGAATGGTTCTTTAATAAAATAACGATCACTAGTTAAATTAATAATTTTTAAGGTGGTTTTGCGAAATTTTTCAGGGTGGCCAATTTTTTTCGCAAGATTTAAAAACATTCGGTTTTGCAGTTTCTGATTTAATCAATAAAATAAATTGACACATTCATTAATATTTTTTTGTCACTCTGTATAAGCAATTCTAAAAAATATGAATGCACCGGTAAATCACAAGTACAGACTCATAATATTTTGCACATTAGATAGGGTTTATTCGGCAAAATTTTGGGATGATGTCATAAGTTTTTTGATTAAAAATTTATCATGTTCACGATAGCTTTAAAATGTCTGCAAGATTTCAAAGCATTCGGTTATGCCGATTCAAAATTAAATTGCGAAATGTTGTTATAAAATTTTGATTTTTTTGCTTTTTTTTGCTAAAAATGTGGATGTCTCGGGTAAAATCTCAACACGGATTCATAAACTATACGGTTAGGAGTAGGTTATCTATCTATATATATATAACAAAGTCGGCTGGACCAATTTTTTTTATTTTTGTGTTTTTGGATTTGTTTTTGTCGGGAATAGGATAATAAGTATTAAAACATTTGGAAAATTAAAAAAAAATTAAAGATTAAACAAATTGACGACGTTTGGTTTGTTAGGTTATGACAGTTGTCATGCTACGCGCCAAGACAATTCAGGTTATGACATTTGTGATTGTGTGTGTCGCATAATAATAGAAGCAAAGTCAGTAATATCCGCCACAGTGTTCTTTTCAATGGCGCGAGCGAGAAGATCGAGTTTTTCACAATGAAGCTTTAATGCAATTAGACTGCGGAATATTGTGAATCAATCCACTGCTGATGAAGAATAAACGCAAGAGAGGAGCACCGTGTTAGTATGGCCCGACTTCGTCCTTTACAAAAACAAGAACACAGAAAGGCCATACTTGAAACGCCTCGGTTGGCAAGGAGAAATTGTCGAGCAGAACACAGTGATCAACAACGTCGAGGCGTAAAAAGAAATAAATGCTTCAAGTGTTAATTTGCTGGCACTCTTTTGTTCGAATTGAAGAAGAAGAAGAAAAAGAAGAAGATGAAGAAGAAGAAGAAGAAGAAGAAGAAGAAGGTTGTATGTGTCCATTGCGGTGCATTTAAGTTCGCTGGAGAAACGCCTGGATTGTGCTGTCTCAGTGGAACACAGCGATCATCAACGTCGAGCCGTAAAAAGAAATTAATGCTGCAAGTGTTAATTTGCTCGCACTCTTTCGTTTGAATTGAAGAAGAAAAAAATAAGAATAAAAAAAAGAAGAAGAAGAAGAAGAAGAAGATGGTTGTGTGTGTCCATTGTGGTGCATTTAAGTTCGCTGAAGTAACGCCTGGATTTGTGCTGTCTCAGTGGAAAGGTTAAATTGCCACTGTTGCCTCCGCCACCTGAGCCATTGCATTCATTGCTTCATGGCGAAACTCAAGAATCACGACATTTTCTTTCGAACGCTCAAAGGTACAACGTACCATATGTTTCCAAATGACTTCATTTACAGCAAATATTATCGAAGAACGCATATTCAATCCGACATTTAAGGTAATTTTTGTTAATAAGAGAATAATCTTCATTTTTGGTGATCATAGATCAGATCATCAATGACCACTTCGCTTCGACTTTACAAATCCAAGGACAAATTCACCATAGAATTGGATCATTGTAATCGGTTGAAGATTCACAGCATAAATTCTTACAAATTTACTTCATGGTCAATATGTAGGACCAACTTGATCGGCATCAAACGATGAATAACGCAATGAAAAAAGAAATAATTTAAGATTTGAAGCAAATACTTCCTGAACATCATGCATTGATTCGGTTGTTCAAAACTGCGTTGGATCGTATGCCAAGTGATGACCATAAAGTCGTAATCAGAGCAGATAAACGACCCGCTAGAACACACGAACGACAATTCAATGCTCCTACAATAGATGAAGCCGCAATTATTGTTCTAAGGTGGTACAAAGTTCACCGCGTCAACTAATTTTATATAATTTAAAACCCATTGACTATGTACAATTTTGAGATGACATCATCAAATTATTGGTGGGGATGATTAGACGACGACAGACTGACAGACAGACTGACGGAAAAGGAAGACATATTTTTTCATACTCTAAGGGTCATGACAGATCGAGAAAACATAAAAGTAGCCAGTCGCCCAATGGACTTGATTCCAATACTTCCTTAGCTTACGCTCGGGAAGTAAAAATAACTCACGAGTGAAAACTCAAGTCAAAAACGCAATTCCTGAATAAATCATGTACAGTATACTGTATAATAAATGGTTGGTTTTACAGTATCTGGGGTATGCGCAATCTGCGTTCATAGGTACCACAAAATTTATATATACAGGTTATTAAATAATTCACACGTGAGAACTGTAGGAGGTCTACATTTTTTCTAGTTGCTAAAAAATAAAATGTTATAAACTGACGTGAATGCACACGACATACAATGAAATTGAGTTTTTCAAGGAAAGTTATATAATCTTTTTTGTTATTGACTAATAAGTCACATAAAAAGCTAAGGATCAGAGAAATACGCTTATTTTCTAAAGATACAAAATTGAACATATTTAATAGTTTTCGAGATCAGAGATCAGAATTATTATACTCTGTATTCAAGTCGAAATCTGAGTAATTCCAGATTGCGGAGGGTGGTTATGTTGGAAAAAGTCTTAGAATTTCTGTAAATGAAACCATACATTCTATAGGCTTTTGACATACTTTCGGTCATAGGTTCACTAAACATCTTTTTTATTAGTTTATTGTGGTAAGTAATTCCATGATCTTTAAAAGTATTCGCCACCATCAACTGCATCAACACTATAATTGAAAATAATAGGTTTCTGCTTTTTAGAATACGAAACATTTATTTTTATTTAGAGACAAACTACTGTGGTTACGTCACTCAACGACAGTGTTAACACTGTTTCGAAGAATAACAACATAACAATTGCAATATTTAGTTTAACTTTGAAACAGCAAACCGAATGTTCTGAAATACAGCAAACGTTTCAAAAGTTTGTCGAATACATGTGCAAAATGTGCAAAATTTGATGAGTCTGTACTTGTGATTTATCAATTCATTAATATTTTTTTAGAATTGCTCATATAGGGTGACTAAAAATTTGAATTAATGATGCAATTTATTTACTGATCAAATCAAAAATGGTTCACCCCATTTTCCAGAAAATTTTGGAACAGAGCCTATTGTTAATACAAGTATTACACCTCACCTATTGAAGTTGATATGTGTTCTTACTAAAATGTTGATGATGTCATCACAGAAATTTGTTATGGACTACTCACCTGAAATGGACGCAAATCTTGCTTCTTCACCTGTAGTATAACAGTCCAAACATATCTTTACTTTAGCTTATATGGGTCATTATTAAAACAATAAAATTTTATCATTTTTCGAAGAAGCTGAAGGCATTTGTTTGGCTGTACTTCAGGACCGAGGGAAGTTCCATCTAAATAACCTTAGACAATTTTTTATTGTAGTATTTTGAAAAAAATAACTCAATAGACATTTCTGATTTTGGAAAGTGAGTAATAAAATTTTTGTATTCATTTATAGGTATGAGGGTTGGTTATCAAGGTTTTATTTAAATAAAAAAGATATATTACTCACTTCTACCATTGCACAATGAGTTTTATTGCTAACTTGTCCTATAAAATATTTATGTGTATTTAGACACTTTTATATCTATTAAAAACTTCTGAAACCATAAAGTGCAAAAATATCGTAAATGAATCACTTACACGTTAAATATGCATGGCATTATTAAGTTATTCGAGAAACTAGTTAAATTGTATACTTAAATAAGTGTTAGTTAAGTATTTAAATTGATAACTTTAAACGAAAATTGGTATTTATCGAAGTGAAAAACAGTGGAGATTTCCGACGTTTCTAGAGAATCAAGAATACCTGGGTCTCTTACCTCGAGTACATATTTTATATTCATTCGCGCCGTCACTGGTCTGTCAACAATCAGCGAGATCGTAGTTATAAAAGCAACGCGTTTGACTGAAATTTTTGTTTATTGTTTGCACTGTCGATGTTAGCAACTATCACAGTGGCGCTTTTTATTGGTATGTGTTTGGTGTTGAAAAATTTTGTGACTTTAAATAGGAATACGTTCTACTCCCTTCAAAAAACGAAAATACCCACCTGATTTTACGAAAGGTAATTTTGTAAAATTCTTTTGTCAGTCTAATTACAAAAATGAAAAAACTCATTGTAATACGCATGTAATAACATAATTTTGTTAGTTATGCATTTATATCACGTCCATTCATAAATTTTAATACAATTTCGTAATATTTAAAATATTATAAATACAAAATTCGTTCTAAAATAGATGACATAATCTAAAATTTATGATATAATATATTTTTATTTAGTTTAAAATACAAGTGAAATGTTTACAGGAGAATACGGAATTTTTCGTTGTTTTAAATTAATTTATTATATTTACTCTTCTTAATATTACTAAATTCTAATAACATGAAATTTTTTTAATAAAATCTGAAGCGAAAAAAACTGTTAATATGCTTGATAAAGAAAATTAAATAGAATATTCAACTGTTTTTATTGTTTCTAGTAATAATTTGCTTAGCTGTTAAAAATTCAATTTGGTTGTAACTTTAAGAGAAATATTTGCCATTTTACATGAGTAACTTTTAAAATGATTTTGTCATGTAGTTAAGTTTGTGCAATAAATTATATAGCTAATTGTAAAATCAAAAAAATAAGATTTTTTCGTTCATTCCACTCCCAAAACGAAAGTTTAGTTGACAAACGAGAAACAAAAGGTCGTATTTTTGTATGATTGATAATAAACATTATTTTTTAGTTACGTTAGAGAACAACTTACTCTATAAATTTCAAAATTGTTTGATTTATAAAATCAATTAAATAGCTATTATTTATATGTTAATAAGCCGTATGTTACACTAAAAACGAAAATGTTGTTTTGAATACCGAATATATAATTCAGTGCATTAAAGAAGTAAGCAATAAAAAACCACTTTACTTAATAGATAACAAGCTCTTTCCTACGAGATTCTATTGATAAATTATTTTTGCAATGAGGTCGAGAAGACTACTTAAGTCCTTAGGAGAATTGCATACATTATGATGAATACGACAGAGTAGTTGTCAATTTGGCCTACACGTGGACCAAATTGTCGTACTACATACATATTCATTCATTTATACTGTAATTTTACTGCCTCCTTGTATCCTCATTACTTTATTTTTCAAGTTCGTAATTCAAGGTAACTGACACATATTATCTTCAAATTAGTAACTGTAAATAATAATCTGTCAAATATCAATAAACTCATTTTATATAAAAAATCTGATCTTATCAAACACTTACCTACAAGTAATAATTTAGAATGAGTTTGCACATTCGCTTGGAAAATTTGTTTCTCAACAAAATGAGTTAATTGTTTATACTAAGTTCCACTTCAATAAATTTTCGAAGAAAACTTGTTGTAACTGGTAAAAATGTGGATAAAAATTTTCCTTGCTTCTATTTTATGCACAAAATTACGTTGTTTTTGAAATTAAATTGAAACTGAAGCAACTGAACGCACATTGTATTTTATAGTAAGTAGTAATATTAATTTTACAATGTAAGTTTCAAGATATCAATAAAGCGTCTTCTATGGGCAGCTACTAGACTTCCTGTGGAATATTCACAGAATAAAGCCAATTGTTTAGACGTAATTTATGCAGAAGCAAGTAAATTTGTTTATTAGAACCTGCATAGGTACCAAGAAAACTGCGAAATTATGTAAATATTTTATGGCTCTTCTTAAAATTACTGACTCAGCGTTCTACTCATTCATGTGAAAAACGAAAATTACGCTGTTTCTAATATAAAGTAAATTTTATGCTACACAAACTATTTTCTTTTGTAAACTGTAACAAAATATTGCCAGATATCTATGCCGAAAAATATAATAATACCTTATATTCATAACATAATGTTTCGTACATCTATGGGAAGTACGAAACATCATGTCGACACGAAACATCTCGTCGACGCAGTATAAAAACAAGTTTTGGCTCATTTTTTATTACATTTTTTGCAGCAAATAATAATTAATGAAACCGGAATATCAAACAGTATATCTTCCAAGAAGTAAAAACGTTAATATATGCACGAAAATATATAAACGACCGTGAAATAATGAAAATGTTATCTACATTATTAATTTACATCGCTAAGTTGGTGCGTATATAGCAAACAAGAATTTAATTAACGCACAAAATTTGTGTGCTTATAACAGATACACATTGAACGACAGAGAGCATACAAGAGTTATAGAGGTACACAGTGAGTGTCTAAAGAATGAAACACATCAAATATGCATACATGTTTTTCGTATTATGTCATCAGCTTTTTTTTTTAAAGTCACTGTTAAGTTTTTATGATTTTGGTGGAAGAATATTACGGTATATTTTTTTTATATATTTATTTATACGAAAAATGAAAAGTTTTATAAAAAAACGTATTTCGATAGATTACCAGACTGAGGCAAGTAATGACATTAAAAAGAAGACATAAAATAAGTGTAAGAAAAAATACATGTCCAAAATCTTTTAAGATCTTGCAGTAGTTGTGTTATAAGTATTATAACTTATTATATTACCATTTAAATAATTTTAAAATACTGATACAATTAATTGACGCCGTGTTATCAGGAAGGTCCTACCGTGGATGACGTAAATTAGTCGTTATGGTTCTTGTGTTAAAAAGTATGTCTCGTGTTCTTGACTTGCAAGTAATAATATGGGCAAACTTTCTCGAAATTTTATATCCGAACATAACGTAGACCAGTTTGTTCGATCTTGCGTTCTTGCAGATAAAAGCCCTCGAGCTACGGCTCTTTTATTAAACAGGTGTCCACTTTATACTCTTAAAAGAACCACTAAAAATGCTTTCACAAAATATTTTAAGTGTAGCGCTACTGCAAATGAAATTTGTCGTTTTATTGAAAATTTGCCAGTACCTTCTTAGTTTCAAACCGTAAATAATCAAATGTTTGTATTTATATTACATTAATATAGTACACATGACGGCCATCAAAAATATTCGCAAAGCAAACGACCGGAGCTCTCGGAATCTGGTCCAAATGGTGGGCCCACGTGAACCACTTCAATCTGGTTCTTAGATTTTTACTATCCGCGAATAACGGTCTTATCTGAATGCGTTTGGCGTTTTTGATAATCTTGGTGGTAAAAAAAATGCTTTTGTAATTTACGCGAGGCTACTATTGATGAAACTTTTATACAGAATTAAAACAGTTTCTTTGTTTTTGACCTTCAAACAAAACTTTACAATAATAATGTGTTTATTGCCCAACAGCTCATCCGAACTTATTACAGAGCAATTGACAGAAACTAAGTATTGTAAATACAAAAGAAAAGAAAAAAAGAAATAAACAAATATAAATACAAAGACAAAATGAAATATTATACCGAATACAAATGGGGAAAACAAAAATGAAATTCTACATACTAACCTAAGTAACAATTAATAATAATTCATCTTTTGCAAAAATATCAGCAGCCAAATACTTATACCTCTCATACTTATATTAAAAATGTCACACTTTATTGTTGTTTGTTTGTTCTTAAATTCTACTGCAACTGTCATTGTAACTAAACAGAAACTAAATCTCAAATGGCAAATACGCAATTTTTTGATCTATAAATTCAGGATCATGTGTATTTGTTATAACGGAAAATATTTATTTTTAGCATGGTTGTGAAAACAAATCTGGAGAGTGTGGCACACCTTGATTTACATTAATGGTATCTCGAAATACCTAAAAAATCAAGGAGTTATTTAACTGCTATTGTCTACACATTTTAATTAATAATTAATTAATGTTAATTTGGGAAGACAATACGGATTTTTGGTTGACACGACTTTTCTTAGAATAACTACTGACTTATACTTTTGTTACCTTATGTTTCGATGGCATATATTCGTTATGCTTAAACATCATTTAAAAAAAATCGTAATCAGAAACCACCGTTTTTATCACAAGATGTAGAATTCATGCATTCACGAGGATTTACTATTACAATTTACAATTCTATCTGTTTTGCGAAACCATTCAACATCAGAGCATAGCCATGTCTGAAAAAGTCAAAAATAATGTTTCTAGCCAAATTTGGGTCTGTCTCACACATGGAATTATTGTGCGGACGGTATACGGTATATGCATATTTATTCTGCGTATTTTATCAACCGCAATGTTCCCTATTTCAAAATCTCTGTGGCTGACGCATACCTGCATGTGGATTTCCTTCAGTTGCCACTAGCACATTCAGTTGTACCTGTTTTTGTATACCAGGACGTTCAGTTCAACGAAAATCTCAAACGTGCTCTGCTTATCTATTTTATTCACAGTTGATTGTACGATTGACGATATAGTTAATTCTTTATGGATATCTATGTATTTTCTTCTCACACACTAACATCATAAGTATTTCAAATACGGTTAAAATCTTTTTTAGCACAAAAAAGAGATATTGAAGTAAATGAGTGCTTTTTTACTAGAGTATCCACTACACAAACATCAGTGATGTCTGATGTCAGTTATTTAACGATTATCCAAAAAAATTTAAAATTGTTGTTGGAATATGGCTCGAACCAAAATAAATTAACCTGTTTTATTAATAAAGGGTGTGATTTTTACAAAACTTCATTAAACTTTGTTATCAGATTTACTTCATCGTACGGACATTCTGTATATTTATCTTTGTCTTATGGGTTATTATAAATAGTTCTTCATTGTAGGTGGCTTAAACAAAAGCGGAAAGGCAAATATTTAGATACTTTTTTAAAAACCTACGATATAAGAAACATTTATAATAACCCTGTAAGAAATCTAGTATGCATTTTGTCGTCAAAATATAGCTATGACATTTACAGTAATGTTAGGTCAAAGACTAGGTATTTTTTCAAATCTAAATTTTCTCGATTTCAGAAAACAATGTGGTTAATCGGCTTCGCTTCTGTAAATGATACATAATTTTTTCGTTCATAAAATATACCTATATTATAATAATGTATGTATAGATGAGCAAAAATATGTGTGTTTTAAATCTTTTTTTTTTGTATAACCTTAATAAGATTCTCTATTTGTGACGCGTTGTTAAAGGCAAGAATTATGTTTTAGTCAAGGATGTGTACATGCATTTGACCTTATATGACTCAACAACAAACTTTTTTGTTAAAATCACCTACCTGCTCTGTAAATATAATGAATAGTAAATAATGTAAAAAAAGTAATATTTTGTCGAAAGTTGTGTATTAATAAATATTCGTACTTTTACCGCAGCTGTGAGAGTGAATGCAATTAAATGTTGGCGTATCTGTTTACTTTACATATTTTGGCAGAACATTAATATTGTATCAGTATATCTATAAAATACAGTTATGTGACCATCAAACAGATGGAAAATAAAAAAAGTACAGCGATAAATTTGGAATGTAGTGTTTTTTTAATGTACTAATAAGTTAAAATGTATTTTAACAATACGCACGGGTACGTATATATGTATTTAATAAGGAGTAAACAGATAACGTCACACTCGTTAAAATGGTAGGTACTTAAAAGTAATTCATTCTATAGTAAATACTTGTATTGCTTCGTTCGTCCTTTCTGCTAAATTAAAAATACTGTATAAACCTTTTAGTTGTTGTTTGACTCTATCACAGTTTCCTTGCCAGTGTATTTCTGATAGTTGCAATGATAGGATCGCTGTAAGAATAAAGCTCACGTGTGTCCGCCAGGCTTTTAATACAAATATAATTGAGAGTGTTTTGTTTCAGGTTTTTTTTTTCAAAAAAGTATTTTAACAAGAAATAATGAGTGGTCAAATCGACAACCCTGGTTTCGTTAACGATGACGGTAAAAGCATTCATGGGTAAGTTATAAAATATAGGTATTTATACTTTATCTAAACTAAATTGAACGTTCGTGTCCATTAATTAGGAAATATTAATTAGAATAATTTCAGTAGTACAACTATCGTGCAAATGGTTCAGGCAACTGATAACGATGAATATCAACTTTGTACGTTAAGCAATACATAAAAAAATACTTAGTCACTTAAAACTACTTAAAATCTGCTTGAGTGTCCAATTGAAATAAAGTATCTTTTTATAAACAGATAATTTTTCTTACTTTATCAAAGGCAGGAAAGACAACGTAATTCACTTAATTTGCAAAATCTAGTGCTCATAAGTGTAAAAATGAATTTTATATACTTTTTATCACGTTTCCAATAGTTTTTTATCCAAAACTTCACGCATTTAAAATTCATTATCCGTTACATAATAAAATGTATCTAATTTTGGTGTATAGCATTAGCGAACAAGGACTGTTACGCTGAATAACAATGCTGCCATTGAATGATAAAAATCAATGCAGCTATTTTATAAAAACAAACTTGGTTCTTGTAATGGTTAGGTAAGCCTTGCTAATTTGTAATCCACATGGTCGTATCAGTGGTTACAAAGGATGCAATAAAAGCTGTCCTTAATGCACAGATGCTTCGTGCCTTCTAAATATTATTTAACACAAGTTACTTAGCACCGTACAAGGATTTAATAATTTTGTAATGTCATACTTTCCAGTGTCACGCCAGCTCTTAATTCTACAGATGATGCTACCCGGAAAAATGGAAAATCCGGGATGGTTGAGATGAATGACTTAAGAAAAGCAGAAGAAGCAACTGGAGAATATGAACCATACTTACACAGAGAAGTAGAACATCCTACCACGTAAGTAACTACGATTAAATCGTAAGGTCGACGATGGTACCATTGAGAGAGATCGTCAACCTTACTATTATTTTTTTTTATATTATACAGTACATTTACAGTAGGCGTAATGGTTACACAAATTATTGTCATGTTTACGCGAAATTTGTGCTTCTAAGAAGAAGCTTTCATTACTTTGCTAATTAAATATAAATAATCAACATGAGATATAAATGAAGATATTTAAAAAATATATACATTCTATGAAATTTGCACGTACATATGAAATAGGCCTCAATGGGTGTGATTTGTTCATTTATTTAATTTAGAAAATACTGGTAAATTTTATTGATTATTCATTGGTTGTCTATTATTATTATTACTTAGATTAATGCATGTTAGGTAATAAAATATTTGAAAAAGTTACTTTCGTCACGTTTTGGCAGCATCGGGAGTATAAAAATATGAGTGAAATATTTTAAACCGCTCAAAAATTACGCCATAAATAATCGCATTTATTCACATGTTTTCAGAGAACTGCCGTCATTTGTATTGTCTGAACGACAATCGTTCTTTTAATTGTAGTAAAATAGTTTTTAATGATTTTTCAAGTTGTTTTCATAACCGAAGGAATTTAGCAACAGTTTGAATGTCGTCAATTTTTTTATTATTATGATTTATTTTTAGAGTATGTTACGAACGTACGTAGTATATCCATGAAGCTAATTAAATTTTGTTCTAAATTTGACGTAGATACAATTGATTTCATTGTTACAGATTCAATAAGATTAATGTCGGTTTTTCCTTAGCAATATCAATTGGCTTTAACACGTATTTGTCACATCATCGCATTGACGTGCATCTATAATAATAATTAATTCAAACTATTTAATGGATAGCACGTTTGTCATTCATCAACAACTACGAGTATGTCCATGTGAAATTATTTCTGCTTTGTAGGTTAGCACGTATTCCATATATTTTCTCTTTCATTGACTAAAGGTAAACCAAAATAGACATTTTTAAAGAAATTTTTTCAGGGATAATTTGAATATTTTTACAGTGAATAATTACTCTTGTAAATACTCAACATTGATGGGCACATTTTTGCTTGAAGTATATTGTTTTTTTTTTTAGATAATTTTGACAGATAATACATATGTACTTTTTATGTTTTTAACGTAAAATTTCGGATAGAGTGCCAGAAAAAATGTAATGCATATGTTTGGAACTCCCACAGAATACAATTTACACTTGTATGGATTTACAAAATAGTTACGTCGAATACTCGTCTATAAGATTTATATTATATATATATAAAATTATATTTCATATAATTTTGAAGTTTAAACTGAAACATTTTTCGATAGCCTACAATGCTGCCACGCAGTTGTAGGATTATTTTTGTTGATAATTGAACTTTAAACTTAAAAAAAAATGCTACTCAAAATCACGTTAACTGTCATTGTTTTGATTATCATGATCAATATTGTTTTGCAATAAATCAGACAGATACAATTTACGAAATATTGTAATTGTACTCATGTTAATTTTTCATTATATTTCCACCTGTAATCAGAATCACACCTGCCCACAACATTGTAACATAACATTAGCTTCGTATACGGTATCAGTACGTCAATAATAATTAATAAACGTTATCATCTGTTGTTCTGTTGTTCTGTTGTTATCTCTGAAAACAGGAACATTTCGCAATACAGATATGTTACCTATTTTTGTTTTACAGAAATGCAGAAACGTTACTACATTTGCTCAAGGGAAGTTTAGGCACTGGCATATTGTCTATGCCGCTTGCATTTTACCATGCCGGATATTTAGTGGGCATAATATGTACAATAGTAATTGGTGCAATTTGCACATATTGCATACACATGATTATACAAGCAGAATACGAATTATGTAAAAGAAAAAAGTTACCAAGTTTAACTTACCCCGCTACGGCAGAATTAGCTTTACTCGAAGGACCTTCATTTTTTAAGAAATTAGCACCTTTTGCTGTGTAAGTCGTCTATTTTTAGAAACGATTGTGTTTAAAATAGAATCTCTTTTAGGCACATAATTAACGTATTCTTACTGATATATCAGATGGGAGCTGGGTGCGTGTACACCGTTTTTATCGCCGAAAATGTTAAAGCTGTTGCAGACGAGTACACAGACAAATTGGATGTGAAAATTTGGATGCTAGTCTTCCTACTTCCTCTTATATTGATCAATTATATCAGAAATCTAAAATTTTTGGCTCCCTTTTCAACAGTTGCCAATTTCATCACAATAGCAAGTTTTGGAATTATTTTATATTACTTAATCAAAGCAGATATCACTTTTGAGGACCGAAATCTCTCAGGTGAAATAAAGGATTTTCCTTTATATTTTGGAACTGTTCTGTTTGCTCTCGAAGCAATTGGCGTGGTAAGTATTTTGTTAATAACGTCGTTTAAAAATAAGTTTTTGCACATACCTTCATCGTCAGATATATAACTACACCATAAGCTTAGAACAAATTTAGAAAAGTATTTCATTTTCAGATCATGCCCTTAGAAAATGAAATGAAAACACCAAAAGCTTTCAAAGGTCCGTGTGGAGTCCTCAATATTGGGATGATTTCCATCGTTGTTCTTTATGTGGGAATGGGATTATTGGGTTACCTTGCCTATGGATCAGACGTTGCAGATACTATAACCCTTAATTTAGACAAGGGAGATGTGTATGAGCAATAATAATCAAATTATTATTTATGATGATACCATGTTTCTTTCTTGTAGGTTGGCGCAAGTAGCGAAAGTGATGTTGGCTATTGCAATCTACATTACTCATCCCCTACAAATGTATGTAGCAATTGATATTATGTGGAACGAATATTTACTGCCAAAATGCGAAAAAAGTCGTTATCAATTATTGTTTGAATACTGTGTGCGTACTTCTCTAGTCCTTATTACTTGTAAGTATAATGTTAAAAAATATATACATCCTAAACTTTTTATATTTTCAGTTGCCTTAGCGGTTGCCATTCCAAAACTAGATCTCTTCATTTCCTTGTTTGGTGCATTTTGTTTATCAGCACTTGGTTTAGCATTTCCTGCCATCATACAGACTAGTACATTTTGGTATTCCTTAAATGGAGTTAAAGGCAAATTAATCATAGCAAAAAATTGTGTCATTGTTTTGTTTGGTTTTATTGGACTTGTTGTTGGAACGTACACTAGTCTACAAAAAATAGTTGAATATTTTAATGAGTGAAATTTTACTCTACACTTTTTCTGACGTTGGTTGAAGACTCATTAATTCTAAAGTACAAGAAATTTTTATTATGTGATATAAGTTTAATGCTCAATGTCAAATTTAGGCATCAGGCAAATTGTATACAACATAGTAAATTATTGTTTTATATTATTATACAGACTATTGTAAATATGTACTAGTTGCGTGCATATAGGAAAAACAAGTAAAAATCTTATTTTTTCTGAACTGAGATGTTAATTATAAAAATAAATTATCTGTGATTGCAAAATTTATATAAGCACAGTATCGTACCAGTGAATTCAGAAATGAACTGAAAGAAACATACAGTGCATCTCATAATCAATCGTCTGCCTACCGCTTGCTTGCCCTTGAACGGTCGTTGTTCGTCGAAATTTGACGATAAAAGTATAATTATAAGTAAAATACTATATTTTAAAATGCAATCGGAAGTGCAAAATACCATGTGATGGTAAACAACATATTACTCTTAATTTTTAAGTAGCTCGGGTACATTTTGAGGTGGCTATTTTAATATCTTTCTAACTACATATTTCTCAAAAATTTCGATTTATTTTGGATGGTATAGTAAAATAAAATAACAAACAAATTTTTGGAAACATACATAGTTTAATCTCAATTAATATTTTAAACGTTATTATAACATATGCTTTCAAACTAGCGCAGAAATGTGAGGAACATTAAATAATTCTCGCAAAACATATTCATGCTACATATTTACAAATGTGGAACAAATATATTTAGCATATCTTCACATAGTGATTCAACCTTCCAGTTCTTAATGTAAAATCTAGTATTTTATTGTAGTTTATTTCAGATAAAATCTGTTTTTCTGGTGACTAAAAAGATGGAGGAATGATTTTCAGAAACACTGTACAGTTAATTTTGGCAATTAAAATTTGTTTTTGCATTTATGAATCTTAGTTTGAAAAACTTTGTATTATTTACTTGTCCTGTATTTCTAGTGTCCAGTACATAGTATTACCCTTTATAAATTAAGGTTGTTCAACTTTACAAGTGAACTTATTCAAAAGAGTTCGTGAAAGAACTATCTATTTTCTTACACGTGTAGTGTAGGTGCCTATTTTAAAATTAAAACCATTTTTATTTTCTCATTATTTACAATGAGATTTAAAATAAATGCTTAAGACGAACACTGACGTTTTATATATATACCGGGTGTCCCAGTTTACTTTTCTGGAATTTGGAAAGATTATTTGTAGCATAAAGAAAATTATAAAATACATACACTGTTGCAGTTATATCGCCTTTAAAATGAAATCATTTCTTCCTTTTAAATAGAGTGACGGATATTTTTAAACGACTTAGTATATTTTATAAAACTTGATACGTAACTAGAATTAGATTCAATGGTTTAAACATTTTTTGAATGACAGCATCACTGTTTACCAGTTTGTTGTATTTCAAGGGATAGAAAGCTTAAATTGGAACGATGGTTTCAAAATTGTTCATATTAAACCTTCCCAAACATCAACAGTTTGTTTTCTATTTGTAGTGTCTTTTTTTTAAACATTCAGTTTAGTTTTTTAAACATTTTGATATTCGCATAAAGGCTAGAGGTACTAAATATACAAAATTTTCTGCGTACACTCTTCTCGATTATCTTATGTTTTTCGATGATCCTGCTATTTTACCTAATACTGCATGTATTTTATAGATTTCTTCGTGTTATCGTTCTAAATTTCAAAATTCAGTCTTTTCAAAGATATTAGAATGGAACATATCAACGTGAACACCCGATATAGACAACCATGTTGACGTACAGAAACATCCATACTCGATCAAAAATTGAAAATGACATTTTTTGTAGACTATTTCCAAAATACAAATAAATACACTGTAACTAAGTATTGTTCATATTATTTTTTGTTAATTTTATTGCAATCCAATAATAGACTGTTATGATGTATATGTATTTTTGATTTCCCTTACTCCCTAAAATGTCTGTCAAAATAACTAATAATAATAATATAGCGTAATTGTTATTTTCATAAAATTTCATTACAAATAATTTGATAATGACATATGTAGCACTCTATAAACAAGGATACATTAAAAAATGTTTTGCCTAGTCTTATTTCGACCGTTGAATTTTTGTCCAAAAAATTCATAACTATGACCAATTTAAAAATGTTCAAGATTGAAATTTGTAAGCATCAAGAAGTACTGACGAAACATCCTGTATGTATTGTTACGAAATAAACCCATACGCCGCCCCGGTACGACGCCCATGGGTCGTCTGTACGCAATTCTTCTCGTATGTAGTCTGACTCATCGGCCGCGCGTATGCAAGCGGTTGTCTCGACGGGCCCAGAAAAAGTCTCGAAACGGCGTGTGAAAAGCCTGGAAGCGAAAGTCGCGAATACCCAATTCGAGAAAGAGCTGGATCGCCGAAATACATAATTCAGTCAAGAGTCGAATGAGCGAATGCGTTTAAGTTGCGAAGTTATCGCTGTTATAGTTAGTAGTGTAATTTAATTCGTCTACACGATTTTCTTAAAACAAATCCAAAATGTCTAAATACCCACTTCACTACTAAAACTATACTAGGAGGCAGATTAACTCTCCGCGACGCTCTTAACAATCAACTAATAATAAAACTTTTAGTCAATACTTCTCTCGCCGATGACCATGTTTAAAGACCATTTCGATTAGAATATACAAAGATGTGGTTGTGTTGTTTTTGTCTGATAAAATTACATTTGACAATAATATTTCTCTACAAGGCAGGAATTTTGAACATCTCTAGTGTTTAGTTTAGTTTAGTTTATTTATTAACGGGAAAACCCCACTTACAAAAAAAAAAAAATAATTACACTCTTAAACATAATTAACTAAATATATATATACATGTATACTAATAACCACCTCATATCATTAAAAACCGAAGTACTTTAAAATTTGCTTCCTGAACTTAGACACTGAAGAATTGAAGATTTCAACTTTATCATCATTTGTATAGCGGTTAGCAGCGTCCATCATTCTTCGCAAAGGATGATTTTTTGCTAAATTTGATGTTGCCAATCGAATTCTAAATATATTTCTGCTACGAGTAGTGCAGCTTCCTGATGCCGGTACCAAAAATGTCAATCTCCTTAGTAATTCAGAATTATCAATACGGCCATTGATAATGTTGTGAAGTGTATGCGCGTCATTAATACATCTCCGTATGCCTAGTTCCTGAATGTTGAAACAACTCATTATCCAACTATATTCACCTCTAACATGTCTATGTCCCATCTTAAACTCAATTGTTCTAAGAAATTTCTTCTGAACCTTTTCCAGTAATAAAGAGTCTACATTATAAATTGGACACCAAACAGAGGAGCAATACTCCAAATGTGACCGTACTAACGAACAATACAGAATTCTCAATGCTGACGCTGACAAATCTTTGCAATTACGCCAAATGAAACCCCACATGTTTAAGGATTTATTAAAAATATAACCATAATGATTCTTAAATGTGAGACCCGAGTCAAATATCACACCCAAATCCTTTATCTCAAAAACACGAGTAACAGCATGACAGTTAATTTGATAGTTAAACTCAATACGAGATTTTAAATTAAGAAATGATAAAACATAACATTTTTTAATATTCAAAGGGAGCCAATTGTTATCACACCATTCGCCAAGTGAATCTAGGTCTACCTGAAGTTGCACTGCATCTTGAACCGATCGTATATTTTTAAAAAGCTTTAGGTCATCAGCATATAGTAAGTAATTCGAATAATTAAAGCATTGAGTCACATCATTCACAAATAATAAAAAAAAGGATAGGACCACAATGGGTACCCTGCGGGACACCTGACGGAACATTAAAGAAAGAAGAAAAGCAATTCCCAATGCGAACTTGCTGCATTCTACCCAACAGAAAAGACGATAACCATTTAATCGATAAATCCTAAAAACCTAATCTTTGCAATTTCATAATAAGCAGTCTATGATTTACTCTGTCGAAAGCTTTGGCATAATCAGTATATACCGAATGTTTAGTTAGTTATGCTTTCATGGATTTTTCTTTTTGTTGGTTTTGTATTTGGTTATTATTTATGATTGTAATATTAAAAGTTTTTATTTATTTATTAATGAAAAATAACAGCTCGTTTTATTAATAATAATGCGTATTGACTACTGTTTGTTATGGTTGTCACAATTATTACCAAGAAATCAGAAAGTGAGCCGAAGGTATTCACTCATTAGGTGCGTGCAGTGTTTCCAAATTTACTTTAAAATAGGTTTTTTTCGTGTTCCTCATCATAAAGAATTCATAATTTTATTCTCGTCCATTTTTACTTTATACTATTTTTTTTGTATTTCTCACATGTCATCGTTTTTTAAGTTAAGACGCAAATGGTAGTTATAATTGAGTAAGTCATATAATATAATTTAAATATAATTTAATGTAATCTCACAACTTGTAGACGTCTTGAAAAAGCGATAAAATAAACTGCGAAACTGTCGACGTAGAAGACATCTCTTCTTCTTATTTGTTATGTCCACGAGTCCCGAAATACAAAAAAATAGTATATCATAAAAAATGTTTTTATTATTTCTTTGGGATTCCCCAAACCCTCGTATATAACCTACTGAAGAATTAATCCGCCATTTTCCAGACACCTGGTATATACTTATTTCTACTTTACAGCTGAACAGTAGTTATTTACGAGTTACACATATTTCACATTCACAGTGTGAAATCTAAATATATAAAACGTAGGCAATGGAAAACGTTATGATATAAGTTATTACGTTATCTCCATGAGCGTCAGTGCGTCGTATCAAAAATAAATCTTTCGCCCAATCGATCTTAAACAAAATTATTAATATAATGTTGCATTTTTCATTAGAATTATAAGATAAGATTTAATGTTATGTACATACAGTAAAAATTGAATGTTAAAGGTATAAAATGATAAAAACACTTAAATCTAAAAGGAAAACGTGTTCAGTGCTCTAGTACTTTTCAAATGAAAGCTCAATCAAATGTATAATGTTATAATACATAGAGCAACTATAAAATAACTCTAGTTGATTATAAAATCTATTTGCGAGTATTGTTGGTTGACTACCATAGGCATCTGTTGCCAAGTTCCTCTCTGAATTAAAATGGACCAATTTTTTTTTCTTTTCAATTTTAAGGTATTTAGTTCTCCTTTATTTAATTTTCTCTACTTCAATTCTTCTAAATGAATGAAATAGGTAAACAGTAAAATGATAATAATACACTATTAATACAAACACTATAAGATCGGATGTTTTGTGATAATATGACATGGTGGGAAATAAATCTATTATGTTTTCTGCACTGTCAAAGTAAATTTGTCACGACGATCCAGGTAATACCTTCAAACCATTCATCATCTTTTATATTAAATTTTTAAAATAAATATATGACGCTTGCAACAACTAACAGCCATGAAAATAAGATTTCCATCTACATTTTTATGTTTTTATTTAGAACTGCCGTACAAGAATAAACTAAAAGTTTTAAAGTTGCATATCTCACACGGCACATTTAAAATTATATTCATGTTATACGTTATATAAATTATAAGTAGATACACAACTTTGTTATTTTATCAATATTTTTGTAGCGTTGAGCAGAGAAATTTGTTAAAGTTTTTTTAGCCTGAAATACAATCGCCTTATTATAATATCTGGTGCCCTCTAAAATTTATATCTATTTATTATTAACCCACATATTTAAATTTGAAGCTTTACATCAAAACTGAATTAATGGCACAACAAAGTTTATAACAGTATTTTTTTAAACGAAGCAAAATATTGCAGTTATATGAATACAAGCAAAGGAGTAAAATTTAACTTAATAGAGTATATATCTATCTACGATGCATTTTCGGCGTCTTCATCGTAACGTAAGCAGTTTATTACAATTATTAGTATTATCAAATATTGTACTGTAAAAATTATTTGTAGAAATATAACAATTTTCTTAATATTTTACATATATTTTGTAATGAATGTGAACAATTTTTTTTAAGAAGGATGCGTTCTATGTATCGTAACAAATAAGCTTTCTCTTTCACCCAGAAACCACAAATTTTACAAAATTTCGATAACTTATAATATGTAGATAGAAAACCCGAAGACGTACGTTCATTAGTGTTTTTTTATTTGTGGGAGTGACTACTAAAATTTTTGAGCTCAACAACTGAAACCAATTTCTGGAAATATAAGATATCCTTTAAAAGTAGGTTAAGTAGTAATTACATTATATAGAACACTCCTATGTTAGATTGCTTCTAAATGATGTTATAGCCCATTCAAGTTTATACCAGGTTCATGTGTTTTCTTTTTGTCAACATATGAATTTAATCATTACAAGCATGGGAACAAAAACATATAAAGCTAAACCATTTCGTGTAAATAACTATAGAAAACTTTATCTTTTGGGTAGAACTTGTCCATGAACTGTGTGGTTATGAAATTTCATTCCGGATTGAAAACAAAAATAATTTGATGCGCGTGTATTTTTACTAGCTGAGATTTTCAAATACCACTCACTCAAGTATTTTAAAGTTCGAAAACTTTATTGTGGTAATATTCAATTTTAAGATCGCATTTAAACTGTCTTTTTTATTGTTTATTATACAACAACGCAGATTACTAGGATTATTAAATAGACTGACAAAAAATACCACACAAACGAACTAAAAATAGCTTTTGCAACCTTGTCTAATAGATCTCAAACAAGTTTTCTCTATGAAATATGCAATTTTTGATACAATCTTAAGTCTTACAGCGATCTGGTGGAACATTGGAACAGTAGTAACCAAATATCTTTAAAACGACATCAAACCTTGTGCATCTATTGATTGGCCATGAGACAACACTTAAGAAATATATTTTCTTCCATAGTTTCATATCACTTTATCGATAAAT